ACAAATATGTACATATACATGAGTCAAAATAAACAAACAAGAGGGAGCCTTCACAAAGGTTGCTTAGGAGAAGTCTCAGCAGCAGTCGGTAGAGCCCCAGAAAGAGAAGGCACCGGAGGGGGATCATTCGGAGCCTCAGTACTGGACAGAACCCTAGAAGGAGGAGGCATCAGAGGTTGATCATTTGGAGCTTCATTACGCGGTACAGCCCCAGAAGACGAAGGCAATAAATGCCTTTGGAACAAACCCACAAACTCTCTGATGATCAAGTAAAACCTGACCATCAGATTCCTTCATCTGGTCAAGCTTCCTCTTCATGTTTGTAGCATAGTCATGTGCGAGCCGGTGCAACTGTTTATTCTCTCATGCTTGAGCCCTCTAATCTCCTGTTTGAGACTCATCACTTCAGCCGCCAATGATTCAACTTGGCGGGTTCGAGCAAATAGGCGTTGGGCCATATTAGACACAGAACCTGCACACTGAACACTGAGAGCCAGAGAATCCTTAACAGCCAACTCATCAGACCGTTTGGAAAGTAGTCTGTTATCTTTGGGAGTGAGAAGGTTCCTGGCCACCACCGCAGCGGTCATATCATTCTTCATCACGGAATCCCCAACGGTAGAGGACCAGTAGGGGATACGAAGGATGGGCGCCATATGTTGTCTGGAGAAGGCGGGCTGCCTCTTCAACAAGGTTCAAGTCAAAACGACGGTCGGAGGGGCCAGACATTTTCAAAGGTGTTGAAGAGAGAAGAGGTCGGACAAATCAAGATCTTAGAAGTGCAAGAATGGAGCTTCTACTGGTGGAGATTCAAGTGTGCTTTGGAACTTAATGCCAGCCCTCTATAAAAATCTGCACTCGACGGAGCTTCAGAAATCGAAGAGGCGTTTCTTTGCTTTCTCAAAAGCTGGGCTGCTCAGAGACCACGAGGGCCGATCTCAGAAATCGAAGAGGCGTTTGCTTTCTCAAAAGCTGGGCTGCTCAAAGACCACGAAGGCCGATCTCAGAAATCGAAGAGGCGCTTGCTTTCTCAAAAGCTGGGCTGCTCAGAGACCACGAGGGCCGATCTCAGAAATCGAAGAGGCACCTGCTTTTCCAGCCTTGTCAGCACCTGTCACATGCACACTCAGCTTTGCGGAAATTACGGGCAATTCTGTCGAAGATTTCTGGTGAAGTAGAAAGCACGTGAATCTTACTGTTCAATCACCCACTTTCCCACACGCAACATCAGCTCATGGGTACCACAGATAACTTTGCCAAAGATTCTCTGACAAAGTTTAGACACGTGAAGCTTGCAGCTCCCACTACATCGCTATGACCAAGAAGGGTAAAAGAATAGCAAAGAAACAACACTAACAAAGTTTAGACACATAAATTTTGAAGGTCTAGCTACCATATTATTACCCACAAGGGTAAAGGAACAGTACCACTGTTGGATAATTGGAAAGTCCCTGTGTGTCAACCTCTGTGCTCCGTGGCAAGGTAGACTAGCAAAAATGCCCAACCTTTACTCACATTCGAGAAAACACTCCCAACAAGATTGCTTGCTCCAAAATCGAAGAGGCCGCCCTCCAAATCTCGAGAGCCAGGCTCCCAACATGATTACTTTCTCAAAAATCGAAGAGACATCGCTCTCTGAATTTCAAGAGCCAGACTCCCAGCAGGATTGCTTTCTCAAAAATCGAAGAGGCGCCGTTTTCTGAATCTCGAGAGCCAGATCCCCGATAGGATCGCTTGTTTGAAAACCGAAGAGGCATCTCTTTCTCAACTTCGAGAGCCAAATCTCCTTGGATAAAGCTTGTCTGTAATCTTCACACGCAACATCAGCTTTCCAGATACCACAGACCATTTTTTCAAAGTGCTCTGACAGAGTTAAAACATGTGAAGCTGGCAGCTCCCACTACAGTGTTATGACCAAGAAGGGTAAAGGAATAGCATTACTACTTGTTGTTAGAGAAACTGCTATATATGTCGACCTCCATCCTCAACGGACAGGGAGACCTGCAAAAATGTTCAACCCTTCCTCATATCTGAGAGGGCACTCCCAACGAAGCCTCTCGAAATACCCAACTTTCTTTCCCCCGATAATACCTCTGCAAACAAGCTACACCAGAGTAAAAATATCTCATATTATCAGGGTTAAAAGCAAGAGTATCCCATATCATGCTTTTTCCCTGTCTTTTCCTTTGGCCTTGTTCTTACCTGCAAGACAAGGAGAAAGAGAGCAATCAGTCAGCACTTGGAATCAAGCTTCCAGTCAGGAACTGACTGCCTGGAACCCTTTACCTGATTACTTACCTGGCATTGCTCTCGAGTACTCATCTTCAACATCTTATGCTTCCAGAGAAGATACCACATCTGCTTGAGGAACAGATAGGGCAAGTGAGAAGGATACAAGGAAGCATGTGGAGACAAGCGTAACAGAACACGTGCCGATACATCCACTACTTTGTCAACAGCAAAAGTATCCCATATCAGCAGGGTCGAACGTACTCTAGATTTGATGGACTTGTTTTGACCCTCAAATTCTTCAGTCGGCCTTATACTCTGGAGGAAACCAGAAAACCCTCCAGCCCAGTTCAAGAATAAGCCTGTGGAAAGTTACTTCTTCAAAAGCAAAAGTATCTCATATCATCTCTTCTCATTTTCTTCTCTTTATCTTTCATGCTGCCTGCAAGATAAGAAGAATGAGAACAATCAGCCAGAACTCGAAATCAAACTTCTGATATGGGACTGATTGCTTGGAGCTCTGATTGCTTACCTTGTCTGTCACCTCTTTCAGCAGATCCCCTATCTCGGCGACTTGGGGGACTCCTACTACATGGTTTGTATCGCACTTGACCAAGCCTGAAACTATAAGTAAGCTTCAAGTGAAATTGATACATTACCTTGTGCATCTCCACCAGTTAAAGATACCACCCTTGGACGGAGGAAGAGTACTTCCAGAAAAGATGCCACATATACCTATGAAACAGATAAGGCAAGTGAAGAGGATACCACACTTCGGTACTTAGAAGTTTCGGGATTACTCAGCGGCTTGGATCTTGCAAATCCCCAACGGAGGAGCTTCCCCTCCAACCAGAAGGCCAATCACAGAGCGACACGTGTCGACATCAGAAGCCAATCATAACGCGACACGTGTCAACATCGGAAGCCAATCATAACACGACACGTGTCAATGTCAGAACAAGGCTAGAAACTCTCTTCTATAAAAGGAGATCATTCTTCCAAAATATTTCCTAATGCCATTTGTACTAAATCATTCACTTATACCCACTAAAGGAGAGCTTGAACCTATGTACTTGTGTAAACCCTTCACAATTAATGAGAACTCCTCTACTCCGTGGACGTAGCCAATCTGGGTGAACCAAGTACATATTGTGTTTGCTTTCCTGTCTCTATCCTTTTACATACTTATCCACACTAATGATCGGAACAATCTAGCGAAAGTCACAAACTGAATACTTTCTGTTGTACCAAAGTCCTCACTGATTTTGTGCATCAACAATCCTTAAGTCCTTACCTTTTTGCATTGGTAATGGATGAGTTAACACGACATATTCAAGATGTTATTCCTTGGTGTATGCTTTTCGCAGACGATATAGAGTTGATAGATGAAACTCAGGAAGGGGTAAATGCGAAGCTTAACCTTTGGAGAGAAGTGTTGGAATCTAAAGGTCTTCGCCTAAGCCGATCAAAGATAGAATATATAGAATACAAGCGGGATGGATGAAGTGGAAGAGTGCATCCGGCGTGTTGTGTGACCGTCGTATGCCACTGAAGCTCAAGGGAAAATTTTATAGGACGGCAATAAGGTCGGCGATACTGTATGGCACAGAATGTTGGGCGGTGAAGCATCAACACGTACACAAAATGGGTGTAGCGGAGATGAGGATACTTCGTTAGAGGTGTGGGCTCATGAGAAAGGATAAGATTAGGAATGAGTGGGTTGGACATGTGCAAAGAAGGCCTACTGAAGCTCCAGTTCAAAGATGTGACTACGGGACAGAGGTTCAGGGCCGAAGGGGTAAGGAAGACCTAGGAAAACTTTGGAAGAGACCCTAAGAAAAGACTTAGAGTACTTGGATCTTACGGAGGACATGACACAAAACCGAGCGCAATGGCGTTCTAGGATTCACATAGCCGACCTCACTTTGTGGGAAAAGGCTTTGTTGTTGTTGTATCGTTTGAAATTTAATGGTCTAGATCAACAAATTGTTGAAAATCCAATAGCCGTGGGGCTCCTAAATTGGAGCTGTTTCGTTCGCTTTGGTGCACGGGGTTGGGGCCAGCCTTCTGTTACTTGACATCAAGCCCGTCGTTACTTATTGCCAACGGGCTGCAATGGTAGTTCAACGAGCTTCTTGGAGCCCACCAATTGCCTGCCCAATTTGGCATCGATGGACCTTCATTTTTTTGGTCAAGGGTAATTTAACCCAATTGCTTGGTGGATTGGCAAGAATTATGATGAGCATAATAGAATTTTCAACAATGGAGTATACACCTAAAATAGTAAGGAAGAAGCTGTATAATGTCTTTTGTTTGAACTTATAATTTATACAAAATATTTGCCCAAAATAATGTTATATTGTTAGACAATTTTAAATGCAACATTGTCACAACAATTTTTGGAATGACTGACTAGTTAATTTTAAGATCAATTTTAGAGTGACCCCTCATAAAGCTTTTCTTATAGTTGTACTTTGTTGTGGGAGGTTTTTTTTTGGGGGGGGTGGGGTTGGGTTTCCCTCATTTTTTGGGCTAGCTACATGCACAGTAGAAAAGCTACCTTATTTGGAGTCGAGATACTCTTTGGATTTTTGTTTTCGAAGTTCAAGAACTTGGATATCTAGTCGTTAAAAAGAGGGAGATCTTAACTCGTGGTTTGTGTTAAGAAGGTGAGTAGAATGGCTAATAAGAATCATATGATTTAAAATGAGTTGTGTGGATTTGTCAGCTTCGTACACAGAGATCCGGAGAAGGTTGCAAGGACACCTCATGTAGTCGAAAACTCCAACTGCGCCTTACCTTAGGGTTGCGAGGACACCTCAAGGCTCAACGTTATTTTCATAAGATATGCAGAGGGTTCCATTTCTAATGTCTTTGTGGGTTTTCACGGGTGCAGATCCTGATTGACAAGGAAGAACAAAAACAGATATAACAACAGTGAGACCAAATGGGAGATCCAATGAAAAAAAAAACAGCAACAGATCAACCGAGGTCTATAGATTCCAACTGCCTCACAACTGCCGCCAGAGAGGTCAGATTGTCCAGAGCGCTGCCACTTCCTCCGCCAACACCGCTGTGTCAGATGTTAAACTGCAGCTCCAGGAGGAGGACCGCAGCAATGGCTTCAATTTCCACTTTTGCTTCTGGTGAGTGTATTTTAAGCACTTTTGCCAAAAATCTGCTTATTTACTTGGTTTTTGTGGGTTTTATTAAAATTGTATGGTTGTTGTTGTAGCGTAAAAAAGTTTGCATCTTTGCATTGATATTTGGAGCAACATACGGTATTTGGATTTGGGGTTGTATAGAAAATGAGTAATTGAAATTTATTAGATATCCAATGGAAAATTTCCAATTATTAGATATCCAGTTTGATATTTGGCGGGTAAAATTCCATTCTTTGGATTAGGGTGCACAACAGTTGATAAGAGGATAAGTCAGAAATGGAGTGATGAAATGTATTAACTTTTATGACTAATTTCGAAAGAAATTGCAATCTGCCAATCTAAAACGGTCAGTTATTTAATATCCGGTTTCATTTATAGTAGAAAAGGCAATGGATAAGAGAGATGATGGTTGAATTTGTATTTGTTATGTTAACTATTTGAAGTCTAGAATCTATAAGTTAATATATTTGACGTGCTGCTGTAATTCAATTTCTCTTTTATGTGTTCGAGCGTGGTCCGAATTTGCCAGGAATGTGTCCGGTGAATGGGATGGCCATGGAGCAGACTTCACAAGGGAAGGGTGCCCAATAGAACTTCCAGAGAATGTTGTACCTACAGCTTACAGGGAGTCGGAGGTTAAGGTTTTCGATTGGCAGACTCAATGCCCCACTCTTGCTAACCCAGATGAGCACACTCTTTTACACAAGAATATAGATTTACTTCCTGCCGTTGGATGTGAAGCTGATGCTGACACTCAATGACTCCAGAGATTGTTGATGATCCATTCCAAACTATGTGAGTTTTCAAGGTAAATAGTCACTCACCATATCCTTTTCCACTTACTAGGATTTTCTTAATTTGAACTTTTTTTCTTCAGTTTGAGTCAAATTAATTATTTTTATTTTCCCTTAAATAATTTGGAATTAGGCCTTTTATTTTGTGTGTTTTCTCTGTTATTTCATCCTCAGTTGAAAAGTGGAAGTCCGAACTTTTAGCTTAGAGAAAAACCCTTGGTTGAATCAAATGCTGTTATGGTCCCTCACATGAGAAAAAAAACACCAATTTTTTTTTTCCTTAAATTTTTTTATTTTGTTAATTTTTTTCTTTCTGCAAATTGTTGTTTTTCTTTGTTGCATTTGTCTGCTACCCTCCATAATGAACGACCTGCTAAAGCTAATGTATTTGGTTTGAAAAGAACAAGACTAATTTTGTCATTAGTATCTGCATTTTCACATCAATGTAAACTGACTGATGCAGAAGATCTAGCCAATTTAACATGAGCGGATATGAGGGAATCTTATTTCAGTGGTTCAACTTTCAATGGTGCATACATGGAGAAAGCTGTCACATATGAGGCAAACTTTGAGGTAAGAACTTCGTTCTGTACAAATAGATACTAAAAAGTGAACGAAGCATAAATAGCATTAGCTACCTATCCTCCAGTTTATGTTTGCATAATGAGATCACCCAAAAGACAAAAACCCAACTTCATTGTCAGTTCATTTCCATACAAGTTATCCCTGATTGTTAAGCATTTAGGCCATGCTTAATATGAAGGACTAGATTACAATTGAAGGATTAAGAAGGGGTTGATGTCTAAAGGGTATCCCTAATCTTATCCCCACTAATCCCTTTAAAAATTGTAAGCAGACATATTGAAATTTATGTGTATAAACTTTTTTATAAGAACAGATGTAAATTAGAATCATACCTGGGTCAACATACTGGTAGTATATGATTGAATGATGCTAAAGGTTAAGTATGAACTTAGACTATGTGCCGAAAGAAAGTTGCTCATTACTTGCGTATAATTTATTTTGTTTGTTCAGGGAAGAGCACAGTGGCGTGTGCTTTGAGTGGGAGTTTGTACCGCAGGAGAAGCTGTTGTACATTCTTGATGGGGACAATGTCAGGCATGGCTTGAATCACGACCTTAGTTTTAAAGCAGAACATCGTGCAGAGAACATTTAGAGGATTGGTAGCATGTGTATGCCTCTTTTTAGATTAACGAAACCCTCTTTTTAGATTAACTATGGCTTTTTGCTTCATTATGTATGCATGAAACTAATCTCTGCAGTTTTTCAATTCATCTGGGGTATTTGTGATTTTGAATGACACTAAAATTATTTATGGGTTATAGGAACCAAGGGTTAAGAAAATGGGTCCAAATTTAGAGCTGCATTTTTCTTCCCTCAAAATAAGAAGAAAACATTTCCTCAGCTCATATTTCAGCACCTCAGGTATATTTGTGTTCTAAAGCTTTCTATTTCTTTCCGTTTCTTCAGAGCTAATTTACCCATATGTTATTTGTAAAGTGAAAGATTGGATTTCATATGTCTGAGTACTTATGGTTTTGTACAATACAAACTTGAGCTTATTGATCCAAATGGCTAGAACAGTATACTCAACCAATTTCATATCCTCTTGGCCAAATGAGAGTATAATACTTGCCACTAAGAAAAATACTTCTAAAATAGCAATGTGTTGGTGTGTGGCATGCTCTAATTAGGGATATTTTTGTGTTATAAGAAGGCCACAGAGAGAGAGAGCGTCACATTTTTGTTTTTTTGGATTTGGTTAATGTTTCAATCGTAAACGTGATTACAGAATGAAAGCTGGGGACACACAAATGATACATGTAGTTTGGAATTTGTAAGTTACAAGCTTATGGAAAGTAAGCTTTTGTAGTTGTCTAATGACGTAGTCAAAGAGTAGTCCACCTAATGTTTACTCTACAATGACTGTCAACGAACCATGGGAGAAATTTCAAAGTAAGATGTTAATGTCTGAAACAAGCCTATGTTGAAATTTATTTCATTGTTTTGTTTATCGTATGAAATATTTGTTGTTGAAATTTTCTTGGTGCTTTGTTTTATAAAAGATTCAGGATGGGGATAATTTAGCTTTCATTGATTAGCATCGTTTATTAAGTTTTGTATGTGCTTTTGTTTGTAGGATCAACTTGGGAAAGAACAGAGGAGGGCACAAGCATTATCAATTTATTTGCTATAGTATTGTCCCTCTTCCTCTGGCCTCCTGAAGTGTTTCCATTCCAGTGTCACCATCTTTTGTTTCATTCATTTGTAGAATATATTCTTCTTTTTTCTATACCTTTATTACCTCCTTTTAACTTTGATTATCTTTACTTGATGAGTATTATTAGACCCATTCTCAAAATTTTGCATCCCCTGCTTCTTTCTTATGGTCCTTATACTCAAACATGTGCAAGTTTGTATTTTTCTGATGGATTGGACTATTGGGAACTTAGGTACTTTTACTTTTTATATATTTTTGTTGGGTTTTTTCTTTTTCGGAAAATGAGTATTTGATTAATTGCTTGATTTTTGCTTTCAAAAGGACTGTTAGAAGTTTGCGTCAATTTGGTTGTGATGGTAAGATTACTTTTTGTAACATTGTGTTGTGGCATGCCAGTGTCGAACTTTTTTCTTAATTTAATTTCGGAAAGAAATGAGTTTAACAGAGGTCGCATTTGGTGCGATGGCAAGTGCCTTCGCCCATGAGCGGTAGGTCTCGGGTTCGAGACTTGGGAGCAACCTCTCCATAAATGGGGGTAAGGCTAGCCGACATTTACCTCTCCCAGACCCTGCGTAAAGCGGGAGCCTTGTGCACTGGGTACGACCTTTTTAAAGAAATGAGTTTCACGGTAGTCCTATATGATGAAGTTAGCATCCTTATAAGTTGGGATCCTAAAATAGGAGTGGTGTACTCATAAATTCCTACTTTTCTCTGCCTCATTCCCCTCTACTTGCATCCGTTTTGACTTATTTTCTTTTTTGGTTCTAACTCAGGAGTTTGTCAGGGAGAAAGTTCGTGAACAAAAGAGATCTAATTGAGAGGTATTTTCTTTTTGGCACATATCATGAATTATGGTTGGGTGTTTAAACAATATTTGCCTAAAAGTATACTCTGTTTTTAGTGGTATTTCAAATAAGGTAACTTCCCCAAACATTGATATTCTGGTTTTCTATTGGTATGTGTGAAACCAGCTTGATTCAGGTTACAAGGTTGAGGGTTGCGGATAGTTGTCATATTGCGGATAGTTAATCATGTTCAATAACCTTAGTTACAAGGCCATTCACTTAAATTTTGGTTTCAAGCTGTAGAAAGATGGCTTTTCATTCTCTCTCAAAATAAGCTTTCATTACAGCTTCAGTTTCACATCATTCTTCACTGGATTTGCTAATATAAGTTTTTATTGATATAATCTTACTGGTGAATTGTTAAAAGGTAGGAAGAGAGAAGGCGGCCTGCGATTTTATAAACTAAAGTTCAGATGCATTTTCTGTGGTATGGGATGTCCGAGAGAAAGGGTTTCAGGGAGGTATGGGTTTTTAGGGCCGGTTTCTAGGGAGGTGGTGTTATGAACTCAAAATGTAATTGAGGTTTATGCTTTAATTGAATTGTTAAGAATTGTTAAATATGCTAGCTGGCATTTTAAGAAGTAGAGTGTATAAAAGGAGCCCAACTCCCTCAAATGTGACATGTACCTATAATAACAAAGCTATTAGACACTTTCTACCAAATCTGAGCATCACAGGTTTGTTCTTCCGGCCTTTGGATTTTTGGAGCATGTTGCACGTCACTTCCTGAATTTAAGGGTAGAACTGCATCAATTAAACGGTGCCTAAGTGAATTGCCTTTTCTCTCGGTTTCAGAAGAAGAAAGTAATGATTCTTCACAAAAGGTTCAGCAAGTAAACTCCATGACCGTGCCTTTTAAAAGACCTACTATTCTTGCTGATGGAACTTATGCCACACATCATGCTGCATCTGGAATTGTTTTCTCTCCTCCTACCATTTTTCAAGGATCCGTGGCATCTGGGAACTTGAGATCCTTGCTTCTCACTGGTGACTTTTTCCTTGGGACAGTTGTTGCATACACTATGACCAAGCTTGCCCTGAGATTGGAAGGGGTCCAACCATCAAAAGTTGAAGTGAATAAAGCATTTTCACAAGCACTGTTGATTGTTGTCTCTATGTTGCAATTAGGACAATCTCCAGTTCTTCCATATCCAATTGATAGTGATTCTTATGCTGGGATGGTCCTCTGAATAAGATTGCTATGCAATACTGGTGATGAGGTCAGAAAAATATGGTTAAAATCTTGCTGTCAAAGTTTTGTTGACATGCTTTCAAAAAAAAAAAACAATTAAGGGAGACAGAGGAGATAAAAGCAACGGCTCAGATTTCTCAAGCACAACCGGTTCGATTATTACTACATAGAGCTATTTCAGGTGCGCTTTATGCAGGACACATTCATAGCTTGTTACAGAGGGAATGCATTACTGAATCATTTCTTTGAGGGTTGTCATGGTTGCTCCGATTCATTGATAAATGGATACATAGCATGGATCTTGAAAATCATAAGCTCAATCCTCGTATTGAACACTATGGATGCATTGTGGATCTTCTTAGCCATGCTAATCTGTTAAATGTGGCTGAAAAGTTCATCAGAGATATTCCTACTCAACCTGATGTGGTTATATGGGGATCTCTGCTTTTTACATGTAGGATTTATGGGAACATAGAATTGGCAGAGTTGGTTGACAAAAGGACTGAGGTGTTTGAACCCCAAGATGCTTATGTTAATTCACCACGAGATGCTGGAAGTCCCTTAATTTAGGATGTTGGTCATGGTCACTAAGATGCAGTGGAAGTTCTGTTACAAAACAATGCTAATCTTGTTGCTGAAGATAATGACAGTATTACACCTTTGCAGTCATCTGTTTTGGTTGGTTCACTACCATGCTTAGAATTCTTGGTTCATATTGATCATCTAAATATGCGTATCACCCCCTGGGAGGTTGCACTGATATTGGGACAATGGGTTTCTGATATTAAAAAGGACACAAAAATGCCAGTTTACTGTGCTTTGATCAAATTGGTACAGGACAAGGACCTATTTGTAAGGTTGGCAGCTTGTAGGTCTCTCTGTTTGCATAGTGAAGATGCTAGTTTTTCAGAAAGAGAATTTATCAATCTTCTCCCTATCTATTGGGATTTGCCTTAAGTTGATTAAGGAAGTTCAGGAGCTTGACTTGAAGAAGGTTGGGAGGAATCTGCCAATGAGTGCCTTATGCAGATTCAACTTCTTGTTGCTTTGAGGATAGCAGCTAATTGGGAGGACTTCCACAATTCCATTTTTAAGCCTTGAGGACAAGGCTAATTTTCAAGGGGGGAATATTGTTATGAACCCAAAATGTAATTGAGGTTTATGCTTTAATTGAATTGTTAAGAATTGTTAAATATGCCAGCTGGCATTTTAAGAAATAGAGTGTATAAAAGGAGCCCAGCTCATTCTGGCAGAACATAATTTACAAAGAAAGAAATTAAATACAAAAATAGTTGGAGCTCTGCTCCTTCATCTCTCCTTCCCTCTTCTTCCATAGCTTCCTTGTGCTACTTGCAGGTTGATTAAGGGAATTGAGAATTGGATCTTATCAGGTGGTCTGCTGTCAGTGCCCTCACAGGGTGGGGGTGTGATATGGGGAAGAGAGGAGAGGGGGTTGGTTGCAGAGAGAAGGTGACGGCGGGTGCACGATTAGGGGGACAAAAAGAGAGTTGATTGGGTACAAGATTTGAGGGTAGGGTTGAGGGAATAAGTGTCTTGGCTGCAGAGAGATGGTGGGGTTGAGTTAGTATCTCTCCCTCTCTGTCGCTTCTCTCTTCCTCCATCTATGACATCTTCGTTTTGGGGTCAAAATATGTTCGCTTTTACATAGAAATTTGAGTGTTTTATTTATTTATTTGGGTTTTTGTAGCTGATACATATTAGGTTTTGTGTTTCTGGGTTTTATCACGTTGCTGATGCATAAACCCATCAGTTCCTCTGTAATTCATTCAGGTTTTCATTATTCTTTTTCGATTTGTTTTGTCAAAATTGAAATGGAATTTGTTGGCTTGATTTTGTATTAGGTTGCCAGAGGGTTCTGTTTTTAGGGCTTTCTCTCCGTCCCACTCCCTCTCCCTCTTTGTTTCTCTTCTTCAATCAGTCTGACGTAGTTTTGCAATTTAGGGTTCAGTGCATTTCATTCTTTTTTACTGGAATATACATACATATAAATGTCTAAATTTGTTCAATTTTTCTATACACAGGCCGGGTTAATTTGATTCGTGACCTATGATTGGATCTTATATTACAATTGTGGGTTCTGTTTTTAGGGCTGGATGAAAAGAAACACCCATCAGAGCTCTCAACAACTCCAAGGTCAATGATTTCTTCCTTCTCTCTAATTCTGTTTCTGCTATTTCAATTTGTAGGATTTAATTTAGGGTTTTAAGTTGGAAAATTTAATTAAACATTTTCAGTTGGAGATCTTTGTGTATACAACAATTAGGGTTGTTAATTTTGATTGTTGGTCTACTAAATGTTTTATAACATGTAAACAGAAGGGAGTACATATTTTGTATGCCATGGATAGGGAATGGATACGTAATTAGATCAATTGATGGGTGCCGCTGTTTTGGATATCTACATCCAGCAATACCTGGTATTCTGTGTGCTGTTGTAATGGATTGGAATTTCTACTAGAATTATTATTATTATTATTATTATTATTATTATTATTATTATTATTATTATTATATATTTAGAGATTTTGTATGTGGTTTGGGTTCTGATTTTGTTTAGATAGATGATGCTTGATTGTGGTTTAAGTTTTTTTAGTATATTCCCCGCACATTGCAAAGTTCTGGTACTATTTGGGTGTTTTGGTGTTGAAAGCCTAGGCTTTAGGGTTTAGCGTTTAGCGTTTGGAGGAATGAAAAGAAGGGATGTATGCGTTTCTAAACTCTTATGCAAATCTAATTTGAAATCATGAAACACATTTCCTATGTTTCTCAAATCTCAGCAACAGGTTTTAGAACCCTGAAATCTAAGTAAAGGTACATCATTCCTATTTTCGTGTTTTTTTTTAATTCCTATCATCATGGCCACGATTAAACGTGAATATGCATGCCAACCTTGCATACTCGGTGATTAATTTCTGGACGAATTTTTCTTTAGACGAGGGTTTGCAGATATGAATATTTGGGCTTGAGGGGACACATGATTGGATCCATTGATACTGATGCAATGTTGATCCATTGATACTGATGCAACTTGGGATGTAGTTGGTTATATTCAAATCAGAAATAAAATTGTTGTGTATATTCCGCATTTGATTGAAAATCTGTAATTTTATGAATCATTTATTCGAATTTAATTTCAATTAAATAGAAATTATTCTTCTTCGATATCATTGTGCGCAACACATAATTTCAATTAGGGTTGGGTTCGGTTCAAATCGGTTTGGTTTTTTTCCAAAACCGAAATCACCGAAATTTCGGTTCGGTTCTTTTTTTCAGTTTTTTCCGGTTCGGTTTCGGTTTTTTTTTTTTTTGTTTTCAAAAAATGAAAAAAATTGAAGTCTTAAATTTTAACATCTCCAACATAATCATAACATAAATATTCCAACTAGAATCAAAGAAAATGAAAATAAATATTTAAAGTTCAACTAGAATTATAACATAAAGATTTTTTTTAACATTTTGTGTTTAAAGTTTAATTGTAAATAGATTTCTTTTTAGAAAAGTAAAATTTTCTACCATTTTCTTCACACCTGAACTCTTAACCATGAATAATATAAAGAGCTGGTGTATGTTGGTGAACATGTGCTGATTATTTTATCACGATAGTACGTACATGAGAGCATTATCATACTATAACCCACTTTGAACCAACGAGGGTCATATATCGATTATGCTCTCTTTGTATGTATTATCGGTCATTTAGTAATGTAATTTACTATTTAGTCGGCAGAAGTAATATCAAATGGGAAAACACTTGATCAAAACCAATACCTGATCACTGCATATAACAATAAGCAATGAAGTATTGAATAAGCATACAAATACTTGAAGCAAGAAGCCATATTAAACAAGAATCAGGAACTAACAGTACTGTGTCAGGATTTAGCACCATTTTGTTATCACTATTTTAGGTCTTGCTTTTTTATACGACTTCTTCCTTGTAGTTATAGGAAAAGAAGCGATGCATTTGGAATTTCTGATTTTGGGCAACACATTGGGCTTACAAATTGGGTTTAAAAAAATAACCCAAAAAATAAAAAAATAATAAATATAAAAAAAAAAAAAATATTAATAAATTAATTTTTAATTCGGTTCGAATTTAATTTGTTCGGTTTTTTCGTTTTTCGATTTTTTCAATTTGATCGGTTTTCGGTTTTTTCGATTTCGTTTCGTTCGTTTTCGGTTTTCGTTTTCGTTTTGAACCCACCCCCTAATTTTCAATTAGTTTTTTATTTTTTTTTGCGGTAATAAGATTCCGTATAATTAACCTTTACAATTTTATTCACGTGTTCATGGTCAGCAGGTCACCACTTAGTTAATTAGTGATTGGGTGTTGACCGCCAAATGTTTTCATTTTTCAGTTCGAAGCTTGAATCTCACCGAGCTTCAGGTATTTTTTTTTAATTGGTTTGTTACATATATTGTTTCCCCCAAACACTACAAAGCCAGCTGGCATGACTAATCCAAATCCAAAATACTTATTTAAAAACTAAGCTTGTGATTAATAAGATAATCATAGCTATAACATTGCCCCATCCTTCACTTAAACCTTGTCCTCAAGGTTGCAACTAAAACTTAAAATATGAAAATCTTGCAGTGAATTCATCATAGTCCTCCCCAAGTTGATTCTTCAACATCCTTGTCCTTCCAATGAATCAGCAATTGCACCCCAGCCGCATTATTCTTCTTATACATCCTTCTTTGCAGCACTGCCATAGGTTCTTGGACCTGTAAACCATCATCAGTCACCAATGGCAACAATGAGACCGGATTAACATCAGGACCAAGGACCAATGTGTTTCTTTAAGCAACTAACATGGAAAACTGGGTGTATCTTGGAGGCCTTAGGAAGCTTTAACTTGTAGGCCACCTCACCAACCTTCTCCAACACCTCAAAAGGCCCATAGAACTTAGGGTGCAGTTTATGATGTGCATGAGTTGCTAGTGATTGTAGTTGATAGGGAATGAGCTTCAAATAAACCAAATCTCCCACCTCAAAGGTTCTCTCACTCCTGTGTTTGTCTGCTTGCACCTTCATCCTATTCTACGCGATGGCCAAGTTAGTTCTAAGCATTTTCAACATTTTATCCTGAGCAATCATGCCTTGTTCCACACTCTCCAGTTTTTCCGTACCAATTTCATAAAAAGAAATGTGTGGAGGAGGGAAACCATACACGATTTCAAAGGGAGTGAACTTGGAGGCAATGTGAAAGGAGGTGTTATAGCTCAATTCAGCCCATATGAGCCATTGGAGCCACTTCTTGGGTTAAGAACTAGTAAAGCACTACAGACAAGTCTCTAGGCACCTGTTGACAACTTCTGTTTGGCCATCACTTTGAGGATGGTACCCTGAGCTCAAGCACAATTTTGAACCTTGCAGGTTAAAATACTCCTTCCAGAAAGCACTGAGAAAAATAGTGTCCCTGTCACTAACAATGGTCTGAGGCATGCCATGTAGCTTAAAGATATTTTCCACAAATTCTTGGGCTACCATGCTAGCAGTGTAAGGATGTCCCAAAGCTATAAAGTGTGCATACTTTGATAGCCTATCCACTACCACCAAAATTACAGATTTCCCTTTCCATGAGGGAATGCCACAAATGAAATCCATGCTTATATCTGTCCATGCTTGCTGTGGTATTGGAAGGGGTTGTAATAACCCAGGTGGTGAGATAGTTTCATATTTGTTCTGTTGACAAATTCTGCACTCGGATATCCAAGCTTTGAGATCATTCTTCATCCCAACCTACAGAATGAAAGCTGAGGGCACACAAATGATACATGTAGTTTGGAATTTGTAAGTTACAAGCTTATGGAAAGTAAGCTTTTGTAGTTGTCTAATGGCGTAGTCAAAGAGTTGTCCACCTAATGTTTACTCTACAATGACTGTCAACGAACCATGGGAGAAATTTCAAAGTAAGATGTTAATGTCTAAAACAAGCCTATGTTGAAATTTATTTCATCGTTTTCTTTATCGTATGAAATATTTGCTGTTGAAATTTTCTTGGTGCCTTGTTTTATAAAAGATTCAGGATGGGTATAATTTAGCTTTCATTGATTGGCATCGTTTTTTAAGTTTTGTCTGTGCTTTTGTTTGTAGGATCAACTTGGGAAAGAACAGAGGAGAGCACAAGCATTATCAATTTATTTGCTATAGTATTGTCCCTCTTCCTCTGGCCTCCTGAAGTGTTTCCATTCCAGTTTCACCATATTTTGTTTCATTCACTTGTAGAATATATTCTTCTTTTTTCAATACCTTTATTACCTCCTTTTAACTTTGATTATCTGTACTTGATGAGTATTATTAGACCCATTCTCAAAATTTTGCATCCCCTGCTTCTTTCTTATGGTCCTTTTACTCAAACATGTGCAAGTTTGTATTTTCCTGATGGATTGGACTATTGGGAACTTAGGTACTTCTACTTTTTGTTTATTTTTGTTGGGTTTTTTCTTTTCGGAAAATGAGTATTTGCTTGATTTTCACTTTCAAAAGGACTGTTAGAAGTTTTGTGTCAATTTGGTTGTGATGGTAAGATTACTTTATGTAACATTGTGTTGTGGCATGCCAGTGTCGAACTTTTTTCTTAATTTAATTTCGGAAAGAAATGAGTTTAACAATAGTCCTATACGATGAAGTTAGCATCCTTATAAGTTGGGAACCTAAAACAGGAGTGGTGTACTCATAAATTCATACTTTTCTCTGCCTCATTCCCCTCTACTTGCATCAGTTGTGACTTATTTTCTTTTTTTGGTTCTATCTCAGGAGTTTGTCAGGGAGAAAGTTCGTGAACAAAAGAAATCTAATCGAGAGGTATTTTCTTTTTGGCACATATCATGAATTATGTTTGCGTATTTAAACAATATTTGCCTAAACGTATACTCTGTTTTTTAGTGGTATTTCAAATAAGGTAACTTCCCCAAACATTGATATTTTGGTTTTCTATTGGTATGTGTGAAACCAGCTTGATTCAGGTTACAAGGTTGAGGGTTGCGGATAGTTAATCATGTTCAATAACCTTAGTTACAAGGCCATTTACTTAAATTTTGGTTTCAAGCTGTAGAAAGATGGCTTTTCATTCTCTCTCAAAATAAGCTTTCATTACAGCTTCAGTTTCACATCATTCTTCACTGGATTTGCTAATATAAGTTTTTATTGAGATAATCTTACTGGTGAATTGTTAATAGGTAGGAAGAGAGAAGGCGGCCTGCGATTTTATAAACTAAAGTTCAGATACATTTTCTGTGGTATGGGATGTCCGAGAGAAAGGGTTTCAGGGATTAGGTTTGGGTAGGATTTCAAGGATTAGGTTTGGGGTTTTGTTTGTGCGATTTGTAGAGAGATGCGGGTGTCCGTGATAGGATTTAGGAGATTTGTTTTACGAATTGCAGAGAGAGATAGGGAGTGTCCAAGAGAAGTGTGGGAGGATTGAGGTGGGATTTTAGGGATTTGGTTTAGGGTTTGTTTTCTGCGATTTGCAGAGACAGAGAGATGGGAGGATTTTATGCGAGGGTTAAAGGGAACGAGTAAGGGAGGTATGGGTATGGGTTTTTAGGGCCGGTTTCTAGGGAGGTAGTCTGCTGTCAGTGCCCTCACAGGTGGGGGTGTGATATGGGGAAGAGAGGAGAGGGGGTTGGTTGCAGAGAGAAGGTGACGGCGGGTGCACGATTAGGGGGACAGAAAGAGAGTTGATTGGGTACAAGATTTGGGGGTAGGGTTGAGGGAATCAGTGTGTTGGCTGCAGAAAGATAGTAGGGTTGAGTTAGTATCTCTCCCCCTCCATCGCTTCTCTCTTCCTCCATCTATGACATCTTCGTTTGAAATTTGAGTGTTTTATTTATTTATTTGGGTTTTTGTAGCTGTTACATATTAGGTTTTGTGTTTCTGGGTTTTATCACATTGCTTATGCATAAACCCATCGGTTCCTCCGTAATTCATTCAGGTTTTCATTATTCTTTTTCGATTTGTTTTGTCAAAATTGGAATGGAATTTGTTGGCTTGATTTTTTATTAGGTTGCCAGAGGGTTCTGTTTTTAGGGTTTTCTCTCCGTCCCACTCCCTCTCCCTCTCTGTTTCTCTTCTTTAATCAGTCTGATGTAGTTTTGCAATTTAGGGTTCAATGCATTTCATTCTTTTTACTGGAATATACATACATATAAATGTCTAAATTTGTTCAATTTTTCTATACACAGGCTGGGTTAATTTTAGGGCTGGATGAAAAGAAACACCTATCTGAGCTTTCAACAACTCGAAGGTCATTGATTTCTTCCTTCTCTCTAATTCTGTTTCTGCTATTTCAATTTGTAGGATTTAATTTAGGGTTTAAGTTGGAAAATTTAATTAAACATTTTCAGTTGGAGAGCTTAGCGTATACAACAATTAGGGTTGTTAATTTTGATTGCTGGTCTACTAAATCTTTTATAACATGTAAACAGGGAGTACAAACTTTGTATGCCATGGATAGGGAATGGATACGTAATTAGATCAATAGATGGGTGCCACTGTTTTGGATATCTACATCCAGCAATACCTGGTATTCTGTGTTTTGTTGTTTTAGCTCTGTGTTTTGTTGTAATGGATTGGAATTTCTACTAGAATCATTATTATTATTATATATTTAGGGGTTTGGGTTCTGATTTTGTTTAGATAGATGATGATTGATTGTGGTTTAAGTTTTTTCAGTATATTCCCTGCACATTGCAAAGATCTGGTGCTATTTTGGTGTTGCAAGCCTAGGCGCGGAATGAAAAGAAGGGATGTATGTGTTTCTGAACTCTTATGCAAATCTAAATTGAAATCATGAAACACATTTCCTATGTTTCTCAAATCTCAGCAACAGGTTTTAGAACCCTGAAATCTAAGTAAAGGTACATCATTCCTATTTTCGTGTTTTTTTTTAATTCCTATCATCATGGCCACGATAAAACGTGAATATGCATGCCAACCTTGCATACTCAGTGATTAATTTCTGGATGAATTTTTCTTTAGACGGGGGTTTGCAGATATGAATACTTGAGGGGCAGATGGTCACCATGTTGGATCCATTGATACTGATACAACTTGGGATTTAGTTGGTTATATTCAAATCAGAAATAAAATTGTTGTGTATATTCCGCATTTGATTGAAAATCTGTAATTTTATGAATCATTTATTCGGATTTAATTTCAGTTAAATAGAAATTATTCTTCTTCGATATCACTGTGTGCAACACATAATTTCAATTAGGGCTGGGTTCGGTTCAAATCGGTTTGGTTTTTTTCCAAAACCGAAATCACCGAAATTTTGGTTCTTCATTTTTTTTTTTAGTAGTTTTTTCCAGTTCGGTTTCGGTTTTTTTTTTTTTCAAAAAATGAAAAAAATTGAAGTCTTAAATTTTAACATCTCCAACATAATCATAACATAAATATTCCAACTAGAATCAAAGAAAATGAAAATAAATATTTAAAGTTCAACTAGAATTATAACATAAAGGTTTTTTTTAACATTTTGTGTTTAAAGTTTAATTGTAAATAGATTTCTTTTTAGAAAAGTAAAATTTTTTACCATTTTCTTCACACCTGAACTCTTAACCATGAATAATATAAAGAGCTGGTGTATGTTGGTGAACATGTGCTGATTATTTTATCACGATAGTATGTACAATGAGAGCATTATCATACTATAACCCACTTTGAACCAACGAGGGTCATATATCGATTATGCTCTCTTTGTATGTATTATCGGTCATTTAGTAATGTAATTTACTATTTAGTCGGAAGAAGTAATATCAAATGGGAAAACACTTGATCAAAACCAATACCTGATCACTGCATATAACAATAAGCAATGAAGTATTGAATAAGCATACAAATACTTGAAGCAAGAAGCCAAATTAAACAAGAATAAGGAACTAACAGTACTGTGTCAGGAGTTAGCACCATTTTGTTATCACTATTTTAGGTCTTGCTTTTTTATACGACTTCTTCCTTGTAGTTAATGGAAAAGTAGCGTTGCATTTGGAATTTCTGATTTTGGGCAACACATTGGGCTTACAAATTGGGTTTAAAAAATAATACCCAAAACAAATAATTAAATAAATAAATATATATTAATTTAATTAATTCGGTTCGGTTCGATTTTTTCAATTTGATTTGGTTTTTTCGATTTCGGTTCGGTTCGATTTTCGGTTTTCGTTTTTGAACCCACCCCTAATTTGAATTAGTTTTTTATTTTTTTTGCGGTAAGATTCCGTATAATTAACCTCTACAATTTTATTCACGTGTTCATGGTCAGCAGGTCACCACTTAGTTAATTAGTGATTGGGTGTTGACCGCCGAATGTTTCATTTTTCAGTTCGAAGCTTGAATCTCACCGAGCTTCAGGTATTTTGCTTTAATTGGTTACATATATTGTTTCCCAAACACTACAATCCAGCTGGCATGACTAATCCAAAATACTTATTTAAAAACTAAGCTTGTGATTAAGATAATCATAGCTATAACATTGCCCCATCCTTCACTTAAACCTTGTCCTCAAGGTTGCAACTAAAACTTAAAATCTGAAAATCTTGCAATGAATTCATCATAGTCCTCCCCAAGTTGATTCTTCAACATCCTTGTCCTTCCAATGAATCAGCAATTGCACCCCAGCCGCATTATTCTTCTTATACATCCTTCTTTGCAGCACTGCCATAGGTTCTTGGACCTGTAAACCATCATCAGTCACCAATGGCAACAATGAGACCGGATTAACATCAGGACCAATGTGTTTCTTTAAGCAACTAACATGGAAAACTGGGTGTATCTTGGAGGCCTTAGGAAGCTTTAACTTGTAGGCCACCTCACCAACCTTCTCCAACACCTCAAAAGGCCCATAGAACTTAGGGTGCAGTTTATGATGTGCATGAGTTGCTAGTGATTGTAGTTGATAGGGAATGAGCTTCAAATAAACCAAATCTCCCACCTCAAAGGTTCTCTCACTCCTGTGTTTGTCTGCTTGCACCTTCATCCTATTCTACGCGATGGCCAAGTTAGTTCTAAGCATTTTCAACATTTTATCCTGAGCAATCATGCCTTGTTCCACACTCTCCAGTTTTTCCGTACCAATTTCATAAAAAGAAATGTGTGGAGGAGGGAAACCATACACGATTTCAAAGGGAGTGAACTTGGAGGCAATGTGAAAGGAGGTGTTATAGCTCAATTCAGCCCATATGAGCCATTGGAGCCACTTCTTGGGTTAAGAACTAGTAAAGCACAGCAAATAAGTCTCTAAGCACCTGTTGACAACTTCTGTTTGGCCATCAATTTGAGGATGGTACCCTGAGCTCAAGCACAATTTTGAACCTTGCAGTTTAAAATACTCATTCCAGAAAGCACTGAGAAAAATAGTGTCCCTGTCACTAACAACGGTCTGAGGCATGCCATGTAGCTTAAAGATATTTTCCACAAATTCTTGGGCTACCATGCTAGCAGTGTAAGGATGTCCCAAAGCTATAAAGTGTGCATACTTTGATAGCCTATCCACTACCACCAAAATTACAGATTTCCCTTTGCAAGAGGGAATGCCACAAATGAAATCCATGCTTATATCTGTCCATGCTTGCTGTGGTATTGGAAGGGGTTGTAATAACCCAGGTGGTGAGATAGTTTCATATTTGTTCTGTTGACAAATTCTGCACTCGGATATCCAAGCTTTGAGATCATTCTTCATCCCAACCCAATAAAAACCTTTTTTTCAGCCTCTGATAAGTTTTCAGCACACCTTCATGACCTGCCATGGGAGTGGAATGATGTTCCTCAAATACCCTTCTCCTCCAAACTGAATCCACACCTAAAACAATTCTCCTTTTGTACTTCAAAAACCCATTGTCAATGTGATACTTAGAGGGAACTACACCTTGTCCAGTGCCTTAAGCTTGTTTTTCAACTTCTTGTCTTTTTAGCTTAACCCAAGGATCCAGTTCTAAATCTTTTCTTAACTCATCTAACCACCCAAAGTAGGGATAGGTGATAGCTAACACTTCCTTATCTTCTTCCAAGGGTAGCTCAGGAAGGGAGTTTGAACCTGGGGCTCTGAAGAGAGCATCTACCACAATATTTTCCTTGCCATGTCTATACTGTACTTCATAATCAAACCCCAACAGCTTAGAAACCCATTTTTGTTGAAACGGGGTATTTGCCCTTTGACTCAAGAAATATTTCAAACTGTTGTGGTCAGTTTTAATGATGAAATGACGCCCTTGGAGATAACTCTGCCATTTTTTAACTGCATACACAATTGCAATGAGTTCCCTTTCATATGTGGACAAGGCCTGATTTCTAGGACCAAGTGTCTGACTTGCAAAAGCTATAGGTCGACCCTTTTGCTGCAAAACAGCTCCAATGCCTAAACCAGAAGCATCACACTCTACAATGAATGGCTCAGCAAAGTTTGGCAGAGCTAGGAGTTTGGGTGAAGTCATGGCCTTTTTTAGTTGTTAGAAGGCTTCCTCTGTGTCTTGTGTCCAAAGAAATCGGCCATTACCTGTAAGTTTGTACAATGGTTGGCAGATTTTGCCATAACCAGGAACAAATTTCCTGTAATAACCAGTCAAACCCAGAAATCCTCTCAATTCCTTCACATTCTTAGGGGCAGGCCAATCGACAATAACTTTAATTTTGGTAGGACCTGCAGAAACCCTTTCAGTGGACACTATGTGACCCAAATACTCCACTTGCTGCTTTCCAAATAAACACTTCTGTTTTTTGAGAAACAGTTGATGCTTGAGTAACAACTCCAGTGTTTGTTGTAGATGTACTAAGTGCTCCTTCCAACTAGCACTGTAGATTAAAATGTCATCAAAGAACACAAGGATAAACTTCCTCAAATAGGGGTTGAATAAGTCATTCATGAGGTTTTGAAATGTTGCAGGGGCATTAGTAAAGCCAAATGGCATTACCAGAAACTCATAGTGTCCATCATGAGTTCTAAAAGCTGTTTTTGCAATGTCACTTTCTTGCATTCTAATTTGATGGTACCCGGATCTAAGATCAAGCTTAGAGAAGTACTTTGCCCCATATAATTCATCAGGTAGATCATCAATCAATGGAATGGGGTACTTATCCTTAACTGTGATGCTATTCAACTCTCGATAATCCACACATAATCTCCATGTTCCTTCCTTTTTCTTTACCAACATCACCGGAAAGGAAAATGGGTTATGGCTAGGACATATGAATCCTGACTTAAAAAGCTCCTACACTGCCTTCTCAATTTCATCCTTCTGTGCAGATTCGTAATGATAAGGCCTAATACTTGGGGGTTTTAACCCCGGAATGAGTGGGATTTTGTGATCTTGTGGTCGATATGGGGGTAGTTGAGAGGGAACTTGGAACAATGTATCAAATGGTTGCAAAACTGCCTGTAGCTCATCTACTTGTTGAGAACTAAAAGTATCATTCACCTTTTTCATTAGACTCCAGAGAATACAATAGAACTCCAACATTAGACTGAGAGAGCTCCTTATCACCTTGCTGCAGGGCCATTTCGTGAACTGTCAGCTATGGTGGTGAACTGTGAGTCAATTTAAACTTCTTTTTGCCCACTTGGAACTCCATTGTAAGTAACTGGAAATCCCAAAGCCCAGGACTCACAATAGACAACCATTGCACCCCTAAGACCAAGTCACAACCCCCCAATGGAAGCGAAAATAAGTCAGTGTGACAATTATATCCACCCACCTCCAATGGTATGTGCCTACAACACCCTTGGCTCGTAATTTTCCCACCATCGGCAATCATTACCTCAAAAGGCTTGGTTGCTTGCAAAGACCACCCCAATGTCTTAAGAAGCCTAGAGTCAATGAAATTGTGCGTACTACCAGAATCCAAAAGTATGAGCACTGAGTGGTTATTGGCAGTGCCCAAAACCTTCATAGTTTGTAAAGACTCTGTTCCTTGCACCCCAAAAAATGCACATTCACTCAGTGCCATGCCCTGGATTTCAGCCGGTACCTCCTCATCCAAATCTTCACATAAATCACCCTCATCACTCACATCCAACAAAAGTAGCTGTTTGTGGCCACACTTGTGCCCATTCCCCCACTTTTCAGGACAAAACCAACATTCCCATTTATCCTTCTTGCGTTGAACCTCCTCGGGGGTAAGTTTTCGATATGGGAGCATAGGGGTTTTAAGCTTGGGAGGCAGTATGGGGAGTGGAGTAATTTATGCGGACGGAAGGGTTCGAGGATTGAGCTCACGTAATTAAGATAGCTTAGAATCGACCTGAACAGCAATGGATATGGCATCGTGGACAGTAGCAGGTCGTAACAACTTGACATCATAGATCAATTCACGTTTTAATCCACCAAGGAAACAACTCTTAAGAAGCACAGGGCCAACATCTCTAGCACGATTAGCAAGTCTACGAAATTTAGTGATAAAGTCCTTGAGAGTACCTGTTTAGCGCAATTTGAAAAGAGCCTCTGTATAATCCTCGAATTCGGAAGGCCCAAACTCCTTGCAAAGTTCACCAGTAAATTCCTCCCATGTAGGAGTAGTATGAAGGCAATCGCGCCATTTGAACCACTGCATTGCTTCATTGTCAAGGTAAAAAGAGGCTGTAAGGACTTTCTGAGGATCTGGAGTATTGTAACAAACAAAATACTGTTCCGCCTTATAGATCCAATTGAGAGAGTCGTCACCCTCTGAGAAACGTGGAAAATTGTTGATGCCATGGTAGTCGCTGTTGTCCCCCGCCAGTGTCGAATTGATCACGCCGAGCCGGACGCGAAGTCTCCAAATCAGAATCTGCCACGATTGGAAGATCCAGCCCCTCCCTGAAAGGACTGCTCACAGTGAAATTGCTCGAATGAGAAGGCTAATTTAGCCTCGAAATCGGCAGAGAGAAAAGCCTTGAGGTTAGCGTTCGCGGTGGCGATGGAGGAAAGAATGAAATTGGGAAGATCCGCCTATTATTCCTCAACGACAGAGAGACGAGCGTCTATGGCAGCTAATCTAGTCGTTGGAGCGTGACGGGGCATACAAGAGGGAATCAAGGATCGAGAAGGCTGATACCAATTGATATGCAGCTACTCACAAATCACTCAACTCAACCTACGAGTTGCAGCAGTAATGGAGGGATAAAAGGAAGAAGGAGATAGAGAGAGAAGAGATATACAACAACAACAACAACAACAACAAAGCCTTTTCCCACTAAGTGGGATCGGCTATATGAATCCTAGAACGCCATTGCGCTCGGTTTTGTGTCATGTCCTCCGTTAGATCCAAGTACTCTAAGTCTTTTCTTAGAGTCTCTTCCAAAGTTTTCCTAGGTTTTCCTCTACCCCTTCGGCCCTGAACCTCTGTCCAATGTCGAATATTTTTTAATATTTTTTAATATTTTCTTATGAATATATCTGTGTGTTCAATACTACCACAATTGGTTACATATATTTTTTCCCAAACACTACAAGCCAGCTGGCATGACTAATCCAAAATACTTATTTAAAAACTAAGCTTGTGATTAAGATAATCACAGCTATAACACTTTGTGGGTTTTCAGGCGTGCAGATCCTGATTGACAACGAAGAACAAAAACGGAAATAACAACAGTGAGACCAAATGGGAGTTCCAATGAAAAAAAACAACAACGGATCAACCGAGGCCTATAGATTCCAACTGCCTCACCACTGCCGCCAGAGAGGTCAGATTGTCCAGAGCGCTGCCTCTTCCTCCGCCAACACCGCTGTGTCAGATGTTAAGCTGCAGCTCCAGGAGGAGGACCGCAGCAATGGCTTCAATCCCATTTCCACTTTTGCTTCTGATGAGTGTATTTTAAGATCTTTTGCCAAAAATCTGCTTATTTACTTGGTTTTTGTGGGTTTTATTAAAATCGTATGGTTGTTGTTGTAGCGTAAAAAAGTTTGCATCTTTTCGTTGATATTTGGAGCAACATACGGTATTTGGATTTGGGGTTGTATAGAAATCGAATAATTGAAATTTATTAGATATCCAATGGAAAATTTCCAGTTGTTAGATATCCAGTTTGATATTTGGCGGGTAAAATTCTATTCTTTGGATTAGGGTGCACAACAGTTGATAAGAGGTAAGTCAGAAATGGAGTGATGAAATGTATTAACTTTTATGACTAATTTCCAAAGAAATTGCAATCTGCCAATCTAAAACGATGGGTTATTTAATATCCGGTTTCATTTATAGTAGAAAAGGCAATGGATAAGAGAGATGATGGTTGAATTTGTATTTGTTATGTTAACTATTAGAAGTCTAGAATCTATAAATTAATATATTTCACGTGCTGCTGTAATTCAATTTCTCTTTTATGTGTTTGGTCCAAATTTGCCAGGAATGTGTCCGGTGAATGGGATGGCCATGGAGCAGACTTCACAAGGGAAGGGTGCCCAATAGAACTTCCCGAGAATGTTGTACCTACTGCTTACAGGGAGTGGGAGGTTAAGGTTTTCGATTGGCAGACTCAATGCCCCACTCTTGCTAACCCATATGAGCACACTCTTTTATACAAGAATACAAAGTTACTTCCTGTTGTTGGATGTGAAGCTGATGCTGCCACTTGATGACTCCAGAGATTATTGATGATCCATTCCAAACTATGTGAGTTTTCAAGGCAAATAGTCACTCACCATATCCTTTTCCACTTACTAGGATTTTCTTAATTTGAACTTTTTTCTTCAGTTTGATTCAAATTAATTTTTTTTATTTTCCTTTAAATAATTTGGAATTAGGCCTTTTATTTTGTGCGTTTTCTCTGTTATTTCATCCTCAGTTGAAAAGTGGAAGTCCGAACTTTTAGCTCAGAGAAAAACCCTTGGTTGAATCAAATATGGTATGGTCCCTCACATGAGAAAAAAAAACCAATTTTTTATTTTCTTAAATTTTTTTGTTTTGTTAATATCTTTCTTTCCGCAAATTGTTGTTTTTCTTTGTTGCATTTGTCTGCTACCCTCCATAATGAACGACCTGCTAAAGCTATGTATTTGGTTTGAAAAGAACAAGACTAATTTTGTCATTAGTATCTGCATTTTCACATCAATGTAAACTGACAGATGCAGAAGAGCTAGCCAATTTAACATGAGCGGATATGAGGGAATCTGATTTCAGTGGTTCAACTTTCAATGGTGCATACATGGAGAAAGCTGTCACATATAAGGCAAACTTTGAGGTAAGAACTTTGCACTGTACAAATAGATACTAAAAAGTGAACGAAACATAAATAGCTTTAGCTACCTATCCTCCATTATATGTTTGCATCATGAGATCACCCAAAAGACAAAAACCCACCTTCATTGTCAGTTCATTTCCATACAAGTTATCCCTGATTGTTAAGCATTTAGGCCATGCTTAATATGAAGGACTAGATTGCAATTGAAGGATTAAGAAGGGGTTGATGTCTAAAGCATATCCCTAATCTTATCCCCACTAATCCCTTTAAAAATTGTAAGCAGACATATTGAAATTTATGTGTATAAACTTTTTTAAAAGAACATATGTAAATTAGAATCATACCTGGGTCAACATACTGGTAGTATATGATTGAACGATGCTAAAGGTTAAGTATGAACTTAGACAATGTGCCGAAAGAAAGTTGCTCATTACTTGCGTATAATTTATTTTGTTTGTTCAGGGAAGAGCACGGTGGCGTGTGCTTTGAGTGGGAATTTGTACCGCAGGAGAATATGTTGTACATTCTTGATGGGGACATTGTCAGGCATGGCTTGAATCGCGACCTTAGTTTTAAAGCAGAACATCGTGCAGAGAACATTCAGAGGATTGGTAGTACGTGTATGCCTCTTTTTAGATTAACTAAACCCTTTTTTAGATTAACTATGGCTTTCTGCTTCATTATGTATTCATGAAACTAATCTCTGCAGTTTTTCAATTCATCTGGAGTATTTGTGATTTTGAACGGTTACGATTAAGTCACATTAATATCTTATATTAACTTTTAGAGAGAGAAAGACAAATAAAAAGTGTGAGAGAAAGCGAGGGAGGAATAGAAGAAGAGAAAATCATACTTTTTTTTTAATTCTTTGAATATCATCATTAATGTTATCAAAATAAGAAGAAAACATTTCCTCATCTCATATTTCAGCACCTCAAGTATATTTGTGTTCTAAAGCTTTCTATTTCTTTCCGTTTCTTCAGAGCTAATTTACCCATATGTTATTTGTAAAGTGAAAGATTGGATTTCATACGTCTGAGTACTTATGGTTTTGTACTATACAAACTAGAGCTTATTGATCCAAATGGCTAGAGCAGTATACTCAACCAATTTCATATCCTCTTGGCCAAATGAGAGTATAATACTTGCCACTAAGAAAAATACTTCTATAATAGCAATGTGTTGATGTGTGGCATGCTCTAATTAGGGATATTTTTGTGTTATAAGAAAGCCACAGAGAGAGAGAGCGTCACATTTTTGTTTTTTGGGATTTGGTTAATGTTTCAATCGTAAATGTGATTACAGAATGAAAGTTGAGGACACACAAATGATACATGTAGTTTGGAATTTGTAAGTTACAAGCTTATGGAAAGTAAGCTTTTGTAGTTGTCTAATGACGTAGTCAAAGAGTTGTCCACCTGATGTTTACTCTACAATGACTGTCAACGAACTATGGGAGAAATTTCAAAGTAAGATGTTAATGTCTGAAACAAGCCTATTTTGAAATTTATTTCATCGTTTTGTTTATCGTATGAAATATTTTTTGTTGAAATTTTCTTGGTGCTTTGTTTTATAAAAGATTCAAGATGGGGATAATTTAGCTTTCATTGATTGGCATCATTTTTTAAGTTTTGTCTGTGCTTTTGTTTGTAGGATCAACTTGGGAAAGAACAGAGGAGAGCACAAGCATTATCAATTTATTTGCTATAGTATTGTCCCTCTTCCTCTGGCCTCCTGAAGTGTTTCCATTCCAGTGTCACCATCTTTTGTTTCATTCATTTGTAGAATATATTCTTCTTTTGTCTATACCTTTATTACCTCCTTTTAACTTTGATTATCTGTACTTGATGAGTATTATTAGACCCATTCTCAAAACTTTGCATCCCCTGCTTCTTTCTTATGGTCCTTATACTCAAACATGTCCAAGTTTGTATTTTTCTGATGGATTGAACTATTGGGAACTTAGGTACTTTTACTTTTTATATATTTTTGTTGGGTTTTTTCTTTTTCGGAAAATGAGTATTTGATTAATCGCTTGATTTTCACTTTCAAAAGGACTGTTAGAAGTTTTGTGTCAATTTGGTTGTGATGGTAAGATTACTTTATGTAACATTGTGTTGTGGCATGTGAGTGTCGAACTTTTTTCTTAATTTAATTTTGGAAAGAAATGAGTTTAACGGTAGTCCTATGTGATGAAGTTAGCATCCTTATAAGTTGGGAACCTAAAACAAGAGTGGTGTACTCATAAATTCCTACTTTTCTCTGCCTCATGCCCCTCTCCTTGCATTAGTTGTGACTTATTTTCTTTTTTGGTTCTATCTCAAGAGTTTGTCAGGGAGAAAGTTCGTGAACAAAAGAAATCTAATCGAGAGGTATTTTCTTTTTGGCACATATCATGAATTATGTTTGGGTGTTTAAACAATATTTGCCTAAAAGTGTACTCTGTTTTTTAGTGGTATTTCAAATAAGGTAACTTCCCCAAACATTGATATTTTGGTTTTCTATTGGTATGTGTGAAACCAACTTGATTCAGGTTACAAGGTTGAGGGTTGCAGATAGTTGTCATATTGCGGATAGTTAATCATGTTCAATAACCTTAGTTACAGGGCCATTCACTTAAATTTTGGTTTCAAGCTGTAGAAAGATGGCTTTTCATTCTCTCTCAAAATAAGCTTTCATTACAGCTTCAGTTTCACATCATTCGTCACTGGACTTGCTAATATAAGTTTTTATTGAGATAATCTTACAGGTGAATTGTTAAAAGGTAGGAAGAGAGAAGGCAGCCTGCGATTTTCTAAACTAAAGTTCAGATGCATTTTCTATGGTGTGGGATGTCCGAGAGAAAGGGTTTCAGGGATTAGGTTTGGGTGGGATTTCAAGGATTAGGTTTGGGGTTTTGTTTGTGCGATTTGTAGAGAGATGGGGGTGTCTGAGATAGGATTTAGGAGATTTGTTTTACGAATTGCAGAGAGAGATAGGGAGTGTCCAAGAGAAGTGTGGGAGGATTTAGGCGGGATTTTAGGGATTTGGTTTAGTGTTTGTTTTCTGCAATTTGCAGGGACAGAGAGATGGGACAAGGGTGAGAGAGAGATGGGAGGATTTTATGCGAAGGTTAAGGGGAACTGGTAAGGGAGGTATGGATTTTTAGGGCCGGTTTTTTGGGAGGTGGTGTTATGAACCCAAAATGTAATTGAGGTTTATGCTTTAATTGAATTGTTAAGAATTGTTAAATATATCATCTGGCATTTTAAGAAGTAGAGTGTATAAAAGGAGCCCAGCTCCCTCAAATGTGACATGTACCTATAATAACAAAGCTATTAGACACCTTCTACCAAATCTGAGCATCACGGGTTTGTTCTTCCGGCCTTTGGATTTTTGGAGCATGTTGCACGTCACTTCCTGAATTTAAAGGTGGAACTGCATCAATTAAACGGTGCCTAAGCGAATTGCCTTTTCTCTCGGTTTCAGAAGAAGAAAGTAATGATTCTTCACAAAAGGTTTAGCAGGTAAACTCCATGACCGTGCCTTTTAAAAGACCTACTATTCTTGCTGATGGAACTTATGCCACACATCATGCTGCATTTGGAATTGCTTTCTCTCCTTCTACCCTTTTCAAGGATCCGTGGCATCTGGGAACTTGAGATCCCTGCTTCTCACTGGTGACTTTTTCCTTGGGACAATTGTTGCATATATTATGACCAAGCTTGCCCTGAGATTGGAAGGGGTCCAACCATCAAAAGTTGAAGTGAATAAAGCATTTTCACAAGCAGTGTTGATTGTTGTCTCTATGTTGCAATTAAGACAATCTCCAGTTCTTCCACATCCAATTGATAGTGATTTTTAGGTCGGGATGGTCCTCTGCATAAGATTGCTATGCAATACTGGTGATGAGGTCAGAAAAATATGGTTAAAATCTTGCTGTCAAAGTTTTGTTGACATGCTTTCAAAAAAACAATTAAGGGAGACATAGGAGATAAAAGCAACGGCTCAGATTTCTCAAGCACAACCGGTTCGATTATTACTACATGGAGCTATTTCATGTGTGCTTTATGCAGGACACATTCATAGCTTGTTACAGAGGGAATGCATTACTAAATCATTTCTTTGAGGGTTGTCATGGTTGCTCCGATTCATTGATAAATGGATACATAGCATGGATCTTGAAAATCATAAACTCAATCCTCGTATTGAACACTATGGATGCATTGTGGATCTTCTTAGCCGTGCTAATCTGTTAAATGTGGCTGAAAGGTTCATCAGAGATATTCCTACTCAACCTGATGTGGTTATATGGGGATCTCTGCTTTTTACATGTAGGATTTATGGGAACATAGAATTGGCAGAGTTGGTTGACAAAAGTGTTGGAAATGTGCCCTAAAACCAATCATATGATGATACTTTACGGACGTTTCACATGTTAAACTAATATAGTTTAATATAAAGGGCAAAGATTATTGTTTGAAGCTGTTTCATATAAATGTTATACGCTTAAACGATAAGTCCAAGGAATATGTAATTGGGAGAATGCGATCTAAAGAAGTTAGATTCATGAGACCATTCTCTTTTGTATACATATCCTAAACGTTCCTGATCATGGGATTGCCAATTGGGCATTGACAGTCCGTTAAGATCAGTATGTGCTATGACTTCTCTTAGGGAGAGTGACTGGTCTCGAGTCATTGGTGTGACTGACACTAAGACAAGTACGTAGGTGCTCAATAGAGAATGAGTTCACTGAACGCGATCAACAAGAAGTTCTCATACTCATGTCACATGAGAACTCATGGTTGGGATAATGCAAAGGAGTCATTTGACCTGAGGCATCATAGTTGTCTTGTGGTTAGGTCCTTGATCTTTGACTATGTCAAAGTCACTTCATCCGAGGGTGTCCACGACATAGTTGAGGTTAAGCCACTTAGCCATGGAGGCAAGTGAATGCGCAACAAGGGATCTCTAACCTTCAAACTGTTTGAGGGAGAATACTTTATGATATGATTAAGAATCTCTGGCCAGAGTATGAATGAGATTTAGGAAGTCGTTCCAAATCACATTTAAGGTAATCATATAAGTAAATGAATCACATTGGATAGTAGACATGAATAAACTATCAAACCAAACATTGTGGTCAAGAGTATTGTATTAGAGAAATACCGTATTGCATTGTAATCCTAAACTGAATAGGTTCTCCACCTCTTCTGATTAGCTTGGGTAACCATGACATACTGCTAGGTGTCACTCATGGTTTGTGGAAGCCCTAAACGTGTATAATTAATCACTAAAGGGAGAATTGAAAGTAAGGTTGAATTCATAATCGATTTGAAAGAGTTCTAATCGCCCACTGCCTGGCTAAAAGGAACCTAATGGATCGTACACCGTGTAAGGTAGAGATTGAAGAAACAACATAGATGAGTAAGGATAATTAAATAGTTTAATTATTTATGGAAATGATTAATTAATATGTTAATTAATCAAACGAATAAGTTCGTTATAGACCTCGGGTTAGTTTTGGGCCGCAAGGCCCAATGGGATTTGAATGTCAAGCCCATTAACTCAAGTTGTATGACAACTTGAAACCACAAAGGGCTTGAAATCCCAATGAACCCTAAATGGCCGGCCATATAGAGAAGGGTAGTGAACTTGGCTTAATTGCAAGTTTGCCACTCCATTATGAGGTGGTATAAAGGCAACTTTATAGTCATTTCATCCTTAGGGTTTCTTTTGGAGAAAAGATAAGAACACAAGCTCCCTTTTCTCTCTAAGAGGCCGGTCATCCTAGAGGATTTTAGCTAGCAATCTTACTTCCTCTAGGTCACTCATCTATTCTTCAAGTCCTACCTTGGTGTGGAGACTTAGAGGTTCTCAACTTTGGAAACTTGGAGAATCCTTTCAACCATCCTCATCTAAGAAATCCATGGAGCTAAGAAGCAAGGAATGAAGACCCTCTCCTTGGGTGATTAGCCTTTGCTTATGCAAAGAGGAATCTTCAAAGGTATAAAGTTTCTCAACTCACTTTGTTTTGAGTTGAGTCTTGGTTCACACAACTACTAGGCTTTGAATTTCATGGGTAATGTTTTGTTTTGAGTGCATACAAGCATGATTCCGTCTTTAAATGTTAATTGCATGCCATAAATGTTGCTCAAATGAACATGTTTTTCACAAAATTTCCTTCAAAAAGGACTGAGGTGTTTGAACCCCAAGATGCTTATGTTAATTCACCACGAGACGCTGGAAGTCCCTTAATTTGGGATGTTGGTCATGGTCACCAAGATGCAGTGGAAGTTCTGTTACAAAACAATGCTAATCTTGTTGCTGAAAATAATGATAGTATTACACTTTGCAGTCATCTGTTTTGGTTGGTTCACTACCATGCTTAGAATTCTTAGTTCATATTGATCATCCAAATATGCGTATCACCCCCTAGGAAGTTGCATTGATATTGGGACAATGGGTTTCTGATATTAAAAAGGACACAAAAATGCTAGTTTACTGTGCTTTGATCAAATTGCTACAGGACAACGACCTATCTGTAAGGTTGGCAGCTTGTAGGTCTCTCTGTTTGCATAGTGAAGATGCTAGTTTTTCAGAAAGATAATTTATCAATCTTCTCCCTATCTATTGGGATTCGCCTTAAGTTGATTAATGAAGTTCAGGAGCTTGACTCGAAGAAGGTTGGGAGGAATCTGCCAATGAGTGCCTTCTGCAGATTCAACTTCTTGTTGCTTTGAGGATAACAGCTAATTGGGAGGACTTTCACAATTCCATTTTTAAGCCTTGAGGACAAGGCTAATTTTCAAGGGGGAATATTATTATGAACCCAAAATGTAATTGAGGTTTATGCTTTAATTGAATTGTTAAGAATTGTTAAATATGCCAGTTGGCATTTTAAGAAGTAAAGTGTATAAAAGGAGCCCAACTCCTTCTGGTAGAACAGAATTTACAAAGAAAGAAATTAAATACAAAAATATTTGGAGCTCTTCTCATT